GCTTTAGTAACCTATCTGCACCTCCATTTTTAGCATGTCCAAAGAAGAGCCCCCTAAAGTAGTCTCCCTCACCTCCATGGCCAGTATCTGGGAGGCAGCCCTGACTCCTCCCTTTCCCTCACTTACGCACTCAATTCATCTGGAAGCACTGTGGCTTCTGCCTCTGAAGTACATTTTGAATCTATGTCTGGCTCTAAGTCACCCTCATCTCCTACCTGAAGTACTTACTACACCACCTTCCTAAAGGCCTTTTCTCCCCCCCGTAGCTCTCCCCCTCACTACTGATTTTCCACATCACAGTCAGAGATGGTATTCTGAAATGTAAACTATATCCTGTCATTCCCTTACCTAAAAAGGGTTAAAGACCCCATTAAACTTTGAATAACATACAACATGGTTTGCCCTCGGCCAGCTTCATCTTGTACCCTCCTCCCCTGTCCTCCTTTCTTACCAGGTTCCTGCCACAATGGCTTCCTCCCAATTGCTGGAACTCACTAAGCTCCATCCTGCCCCCGGGCCTTTGCACATGCTGTGCCAACTGCACAGACTGTTCTTCCACTATTTTTCATATGGCTGGCTCCTTTTTGGTTTTTTTAATGCCTAAATAAGTAAAGAAACTAAGTTCTGGCTATCTCAATCCAAATCCTGCCCCAAATCAATTAGACAGTGCCTGTTCATGAGGAATAAATCTAAGAATACATCTCCCTCAACTCTACTTTGAAAAAATAATTTGGTCCTTCCGAAGGACATTTAATCCAGTGGTATTCCTGGGACCAGAGAAGCTCAAGGCTTGTGACACTTTGAAAATGTTAGATGGCTCGGTGCCTGTGGTTCAAGTGGCTAAGGTGCCAGCCACGTGCACCTGAGGTGGCAGGTACAAATCCAACCTGGACCCGCCAAACAATAATGATGGCTGCAACCAAAAAGTGGCCTGGCATTGTGGCGGGTGCCTGTGGTCCCAGCTACTTGGGAGGCAGAGGCAGGAGACTCGCTTGAGCCCAGGAGCTAGAGGTTGCTGTGAGCTGTGATGCCAAGGCACTCTACCCAGGGGGACAGCTTGAGGCTCTGTCTCAAAAGAAAATGTTAGATGGCCAGCATCCTGTCTAGTTCTGTATCTCATCTGGCTAGTGCCAAGAAAATTAGCTCAGCTCCACCCCCTGGGGACAGGCTTCATTTTCTTGCATAGGACGTGTGATGTCAGGCTGCAAGAGGCTGATGAGCACACGGGGTGGGACCCTGAACAGGCCCAGGGAAATCAATTACATGGGTGTCTTAGGACAAAATTTAGTTCAAGTGATCAAGGACAGGGTGTGTCGTTGCAAGCCATGAACCGCTGTGACTTCAGCTGTTTGTTCAGCATTTAATGTTTATCTTTCTGCTAAACACGTCGCTGTTGAGTCACCCCTCTTAAAGAGCTAGTCTGTGAGGGCCAGCTCTGCACATCCAGTGCCCTAAATGGCCTCCATTCGACCAAGTGCAAACAAAGGCTCTCTCTTCCTCCTCACATTAGACAGCCACGTACCCAAGTTCTGAAAGAGCTAAAGCAGTATTCTTGATTGGGCCAGGAACCATCGAGGGATTAGAGGGAGAACTTAAAGTGATTATTATGTTTTTTATATCATTTAGTACTGTTGCTACAAATTAAAAATGAAATATCAGTTTGCCCAAAAGTACCACCAAGCTCCAAACCATCAATATTTCATGGTAGACTAGGATGATGTCCCCGGGGCTAAAGTAATTGCATTAATATTAATCAAATGAATAATTAAACTTCTAAGCTTTGGGGAAAGGAGGCGGTAAAAACACGTAATTTCAAAAAGTGGAGAAACTCATGAAATGCCGTCTGTTTGGTCTCCCGTAGAAATTGTCCGCGCTATGACACACGTGATAAACCAAGGCATGGCGATGTACTGGGGCACCTCCAGGTGGAGCGCTATGGAGATTATGGTAATTTAACTTCTATTTTTGAATGGCCTTTGAGTACCTTATTATTGTTTTTTAGGCCTCCTGCATAAATTGCACAATTTTTTTGTAAACCTTTCTCGTAATAGCTGTGACACTAGAATGCCTATGATCAATTCATCATTATTGAAAGAGGGACAGGAGCTGAGCTCAGCAGACCAGAAGACAGCAGAGAGGGTGTAAGCCCCAATAGGAAAAATATTTTCGTGTGTTTTTTTATAGCAAGAGGGTAAAGTGAATTTCACAGGAAATAAAATACGTGAACAGAGAAGTCGAGTTGTTTAAATAAAAATGGTATTAACGAATAACTCTACTGCTATAACATGATAATTACTGTCCACTTTTATGTGTTAGTCTAAGTCTCATTTCTTTAGGAACCTAAAAATAGTCAAACTACATTTTCTTTATCATAGTCCGTGATTCACATGTTGACTAGTTTGCACTGGACTTGACTCAGTCCAAATCCTTCCAAAGACTCAGCATTTCCCATATTTGGTGTTGCTCTTAGTAAAATCTGTGACTGCGACTTTGCTTGTTATTTGGCATTGCACGTTTCTGGGTTTGCACTGCTTTCACCCAGGGGAACGTTTTACAGGCAAACCACAGTGACACCTGTTTCTCATCATTGGAAGTTCAGCTGCAATCTCCTTTCTCCCTAGGAAGCCTATTCTGTAGCAAGACAGTTCAACATGATCCCACCGGTCTGTGAACAGGCCGAGTACCATCTTTTCCAGAGAGAGAAGGTGGAGGTCCAGCTGCCAGAGCTCTACCACAAAATAGGTAATCTTCAAACTCCGACCTACTGAGTATTTTTAACAAGAAAAGAATCATTGATTCCGAAAAAATTGTTACTAATATGCTTTCCTAAATGTCCCTAATTAACATAGGGATTCTATTCAGAATTCCAGACACCGCCGCAGAATCAAATGTGCATGTCGTGAGTCGACAGACATCACTGATGAAAGCCACAAAGAGCTGTAAATGATAACTGGTACATAAGCCACGCTCAGCAAGTGCATAGAGAATGCCGGCGAAGGCAGTGAATAAACTAATTGCACATAGGTGCTTGCTCTAGCCGCTGTATTCATCTGTGAGTGGATTATGACAGTCTTTCCAAAAAAAAAAAAAAACCCATGGATGGATATACACATCTATATCTCCTCCTCTGGGCCTGGTGCTGAGTGAGATATGGGAAATTCAACATTAACTCTCAAACTGGGCACTACCTGTGTTATGTAGATTAAAGCAATGTGTTCAGAGAGGAAAAACATAGACAGGACACACACACAAGACATCTACACAGCAGAAGGACATGAGTAAGGCACGTTTTCAGGCTTTTCTCTTTGTACAAAATAGAGGTTCACAGGAGTAAGAAAAAGCTAGTAAGGGGCCAAAAGATAAAATGTGGACAACAACATCAATTGTTGTTATTGCCACCAGGCGCTGAGGGTTTATTATGTACGGGGCACATGCTCCTGCGGTGGACCAGACACGATGCTGGGAACTGAACAGACAAGCACAATGCTGAATTGTTATGCAAGTCAAGGGCCATAAAAAGCCATGAATTTTGGATATCAAAAAAATCATGGATCAGCCGTATTTTTAGGCATGTATATGGTCTACTCCCAAGAACTGACAGTGTGTTAATAAAATAATAAAACATAATCTGTAAGTCCCCGAATTGTAACGGAAAGATGTATGCTGGTGTGAGCTCGTTCATCTGGCTCGCTTTTCCCTAGAACTAGCCAAGTTCCACTCCACGTAAACACCACTCCCCTCCAGACATATACTTTTGATCCCCATTTTCACAAGCCACTCTCAAGATATTTTCTTCTGCAGGAGTTGGTGCAATGACATGGTCTCCACTCGCCTGCGGAATCATCTCAGGAAAATATGGAAACGGGGTGCCTGAAAGTTCCAGGGCTTCACTGAAGGTACTTTCTTCAACCTCTAGAAAAAATGTCTGGGGGCAATGAGGGAGAAGGGGAAAAGAAAGATTGATTAAACAGCTCTGCAGCAGGCTGGGGCATCCCAACTCAGGTGGACAGTCCCTTGGCTGGGTTGGTGGCCTCTGGCAGGCTCCCGTGAGCATCTGGAGCAGGTGTCCTCAAACTACGGCCCGCGGGCCACATGTGGCCCACCTAGGACATTTATCCGGCCCACCAGGTGTTTTTTCCCGCCACTGCCTGTCCTGCTTAGCAGCCGACTCGTCCCGGGGCCCGCAGTCCAGTCCTCCAACGGTCTGAGGGACAGTGAACTGGCCCCCTGTTCACTGATCTGGAGGTCTCTGTTCCTAGCCACACATCAGTCCCCCATTCATAATCTGCCTGCATCGAAAATGCTCTTCTTCTGGGAACTGGGGGAAAATTACCTGTTTGGCTCAACCCTCTACACTGTCATTTATTCTTGTACTAAAGAAAGCTTTCTACCCTTGGCTTGAAACTGACAAAATATAAAATCCCTTTTCTGTATCTGAGAGCATCTAATTTTGCTTTTCTTAACAAAAACAAAATCTAAGGCATAGACACTTAATCCACAGGAAGCAAACAGCTGTGGCAGAGCCCGGCTGCAGGTTGGTTGACACTTTTAATTGTGTGTTGGGATTGTGGGTGTGGAGGGAGGGTCTTAGGAGACAGATAGACACCAAAGCCCCTCTCCCTGGCCTTTATGACGGGCGTTTGTAGAGGTAGACTCTGGCTGCTAAGTTGTGTAGTTGAAATTCTGCTCTGAAGCATAAAGACGCTCAAGATCATTGACACAAAGTTACTTCCATTCAGGACATCTTGATGACTAATTTATCAGAGAGTACTCTAAACGTCTCTCCTTATTAATAACAACATGCCTGCTTTTAAAAACTTGAGAGGCTGTGTAATAACATTAGAATCACAAACGTCTCCTCAGTGTCAAGGGAGAGAGCATGCAGGCGTTTTAAAACTTCAGACTAGCCAAAGTCTGACCAGAAATCTGACCAAGTTACTTGCCTCCATCAGCGCTAAGTTACCAGGAAAACAGCTTAAGGCAAGTCCAACCCCCCAGCCCGGCCACCAGTGCGGCTGTGACCGTCAAGAACTTCTCTTCTCAAGGATTTAGATTTTTCACTTCGCTTCCTGCCTGTAATAGCTGAGCTGTTAGCTGCTAGAATAATACAATATAAATGTCCTCTAAAGCACGTTGGCATGGTCCCAAATCCAGTTTTGTATTATTACCAAAAACCAATTTACCTAGAATATGAAATAAGGTCTTGCTCCTGAAAATTGAAGATTGTTCTGAACCAAGTGGAGACAAGTCAGCAAAGAAAAACCTACAAGCATCTTAAGAGAAGGTAAAAGGGGAGAAGAGAAGAAGGGAGGGGAGAAGGAAGAGGGTGAAAGGGAAGCAGTGAGAACCCGGTTTTACTGAGTACCTGCCATGAGCAGCCCGGCTAAGTGTTTGCGAAGCGGGTACAGGTGGGGTTTGTCTGCTGTAACTAAGAATATCGCCACGTTGTCTTTCAGAGGCTTGCTGAAAAGTGCAAAGCACTTCCATGTTTGCTCAGTTCTTGCTCTCATCCTAACTTTGTAAGAGGGTAGAACCTTTCCAGATGCAGAAATTAAAGCACAAAGGTGTTAAATAGGCCAACAAACACATGAAAAAATGCTCTTGGTCCCTAAACTTAGATAAATGCAAGTCAAACTCACTTTGAGATATTACCTAATCCCAGGGAGAGAGCCCACGGCACAAGGTCCCGCAGCTGCAGATGCTGGTGTGGATTCGGAGAGAGAGGAACAGTCATGCACCATTGGCAGGACTGCAAAGTAGGAGGGTCTTTTTGGAAGGAAGTATTGAGAATCTTCAAAGAACTTAAAGGAAACCTTTTAATTGACGCTGTAACCCCATTACTAGGGATCTACCCAAAAGAAAAAATTCATTTTACCTTAAGAACATTTGCACTTGAAAGTTTATAGTAGCTCAATTCACAATCATCCAAGATGTGGAAACAACTCAAGTGCCCATCAATCCGTGAATGAATGAAGAAACTGGTACATGTGTACCGTGGACTACCATGAAATTCTATTCAGCTTTTTAAAAATGGAGACCTTGTATTTACCTGGAAGGATATGGAGAACACTCTCCTAAGTCTCACAAGAATGGAAAAGCAAGCATCCTACCTACTCAACACTAAATTGAAACTAGTGGATTAACAACTTCAGCCCAGCCCCACAAGAGAAAAACACAATTAAATACAAGAAGGAGGGGAGGAGGTTCAGCAAATTCCCACCTGCTGGGTCTAGTATACGGGCATATGGCTCAACTCCTGGGTGACGGCACAACAGCAACAGGGCCTTTACCTTACAAATGCAAACAAGATAAAACTATGTGACTTAATCATATGCACCCTCATATTAATCTGGGGGGGGG